GGGGGAGTATCCCCGCATATCCCAGTGGGTAGCTGCCTCCATTTCCAAAGGTTTTGTATGTGAGAAGCCCAGCTCACCTATGGCATAAGAGCCCCAGCCAGTCTATCCCAGACTCTGAAGGAAAGCAGTAAGTGGGATGCCAGTGTCGAGGAGTGGATTTTCTGAGATTTAAAAATTATTTTATTATTATTATTATTATTATTATTATTATTATCTCGACCAGACAGACAGAGCGAGGAAAAGAAAGTGAGAAAGCAAACCGCCAGGTCCAGGACTTGAACCTCAGTCAACCATGTGGGAGTCCAGCTCCTTAACCACCACGTGACCAGCTGGCCCTCTGAGATGGTTTTACATTGACACAAAGCGAGATGGGCTGTGTGAACAAAGCAGCTTGTGTTGCTCATATACTCGGGATACTAATATCTGCTCTGAGATACTGCTGTTTGATCTTGGGGTCCTGAGGGTGGGCCTCTGCCTGCCTCACCGAGAAGTTGCCATCTTTTTGTTTGAGGTGGATGTACTGCTACTTGGCAGGAGGATGGGGTGATTTTGCAGGGTGAACTGCATGCTAGGATCCCCTCCCCTTCATGCCCCTGAACCAGGAATCCTTTCTGAGGACGTGGCCTTGCAGCTGCACACAGCCCCTTTCTCCCTAGTTTACCCCGCTCCCCTGGGGACCTGGTTAGTGGGAGACAACCAGCATGAATAGAATTCAAGAACCCTGAGCCTCGTCTGTTTTAAATAGGGGTTGTCGAGCTTCTGGACACCAAGAACCTGGTGCCAGAGTTCCTTTACCACAGGGTCGGGCAGGAGACAGAGTCAGCCAACACAAGGGGCCAGCCCAGGCCAGCTAGGTCCAGCTCCAGCCAGAGCAGTGCCCTGAGCCCAAGGTTCTGAGGAGAGAAGGGACTGGTCCCAGCTTCCAGAGTGTCCCACGTGCATGGCAGCAGAGACTGGCACAGGCAGGAAGGGGACAACTGGCTACACGTTACCTTGCTCTGCACCGAAGGACAGTCAGTCAGGGGTGCTGGGACCAGAGGTGGTTGATCAGGAGGCTTTCTAGAAGTGAGTCCTAGGGAAGTGAGAGGACCAGGTGGAGACACGGAGCTGTCCGAGCTGTCACCCTCAGTCATTAGAGGCCCCGTGTTCTTGCTATTGAACTTGACTCTTAGAGGGTGTCGCTTACCAGCCAGGCACCCCAGGGTTGGGAGAGTGGGCAGTTGTCTCTGTTGAGCAATGTTCTCACAGTCAGCACTGCCACCTGCACCTGGCACCCCACAAAGTGTTTCTTCAGGTGTGTGACACCTCTGGGCTCCTCCCCTCCCTTGCCACCTCTGCCCCAAGTATAGCTACCTTTTGCCGGAGACAGTGCTTGCAGCATGATGGCAGCCTTACTTACAGGGAGCCCAGCAGACCCCCATGTGCAGGGTAATCTAAGAGCTGCCTTCAGGAACTGCCTGGAATGACCCGGAGACCTTGGCCCCACCAGGAGTAAGGGTGACAGCCCACTCTTGTCTTCACCTGCATCATCGCTGGGCCAGGGGGACTGCTTTGGGGCATTCCACCTTCTGCTTCCTGTGTCCATGCATCTGTGCATCTCACCCCACCTCTGCTTTCATGGCAGAGCCCCCCACCTTCACACAGAGAAGAGTATGGGGGAGGGAGGCAGGCAGGTGCAGTGTGAAGGGAAGATGCACACCCAGATGAGCTGGAGGGAGAGCCCAGAGCTGACAGGTTCCCTCTCACAGAGGCAGAGCTGGGTGGGAGCCTCTCCTTACAGGAAGACTCCCTGGGGCTCTGTAAAACTCTGTCTGTCAGCGCCCCAGAATCTCCATCTGGAAGCAGCTGGCTGACCCACACCTACCCTTTGGCAAGAAATACCCATCATAAGGCGAGAGCCAAGCTCACTCCAGCCTGCCAAGCCTGCAAGGGATGATAGAAGGGGGCTGGCTGGAGGGCAGGAGTGGGCCCTGCCATGAGTGCCTGGCCACAGTCTCCTCCTGGGGGAGCAGGAGTGCTGGGGTGTCTCCAGTCACCCCCTGACTAAGGCAGTCCTTCCAGAGGAGCAGCTGCTGGGGAAAGGCCAGGAAAAGGAGCATCGAGTTAAGTCGGGGCTCAGTGGGCCTCAGGGTGGAGTCCCAGGATGTCTTCAGGAGCCTGGGGATCTGGAAAGTGGGCTGCCAGGCTCTTGAGGATACAAAAGGCTCAGGGGGGAACCAGCAGTTAGCGTAATGGCTATGTCGCTGGACTCCCATGTAGTCGACTGCGCTTCACGTCCCGGACCCGGTGGCTTAAAACTCACGCCAGGCGCGTGTGCGTGCGTGCCCAAGATCCCGAGAGGAGAATGGAGGAGAAGAGATTGCGGCATGACCATCCCCCCTGGGGGGTGATTTCTCGCTTTCTGTCTCTATGTCTCTGTCTGTCTGGCGAGCGCACGCGCCCTATAGTGAAAACCTCTCCCTCCCCCCCCCAAAAAAAAAAAGAATGCCCAGGAGATGATCACGCCGTCTTGAACCAATCACTGAACTGATCATACTCCTTTGGAAAAAAAAAAGAAAAGAAAAGGCTCAGGGGATTCAGGCACGCAGCAAGGCAGGTGGCAGTGTAGCCTCTGACGCCCACCCCTCCTCACTGTCAGCTGCACCTCTCTCCGGAGAGGTCAAGCAGGGCTCCTCTGAATGCCATCAGGCATGTGTCACCAAGTCACACAGCCACAGGTCGGTGGATGGGACCTTTGGAGGACATAGGGCCCAACCGCAGAGTTGAGGAAGAGGAAGCCGAGGCTCAGAAGGAGTGTATGGCTTGCCTTTGTGCCAGAGCCAGGGCCAAGTTCAACACCTGTCCGCTCCCGGGGCCAGCCGTGTCTGCTGCAGCCCAGGAACCCTCATGTCCAGTGGTCGCCCATGATAGACAGGGAATCTGGGCGGTGCCCTTGCCTGTGAGCCGTCATCTGGCATTAGACAGAGGAGGTGGCACCAAAGCTGCCCTCTGCTCTTCCCTCTGCTCCCGTCTCAGGCGTTTCAGTCTCCCCCGCCCCCAGAAAGGTTAGGGGCTCAGCGGGTGTGGCAGAAGAGAAGCCGCCAAGCCCTCTTCCCATAGACGGTTTCTGCTGGGGAGTCTGACCGTCACAGCCTCCTAGGAGACTCTCCCGGGAGTCTCTCACTTACCTGAGTTCCCAGAGGCCATGTGTGACAGGAGTGTGCGGTGAGCCTGGCCCTGGTCCTGCAGGCCACAGAGCACTGCTTGCCCCTCACAGAGCCGCCAGGGTAGATGGGCGAGTGGAATCCCAGGCAGGTGGGACCTGGATCGGAGACGGCAGGGCGGTATGCAGTTAGATGCAGAGAGGGTGCCTTGGGCAGGGCAGAAAGGACTCTCTGGAGAGGGTGAAGTCTTGAGCGTGGCTTGGAAAATGATAGGATCTGGTGGCCATGGTGGTGGAGGATGGCAGGTTCAGCTGCCAGATGTGAGCAAAGTCACTGCGGGCCGTGTTTCCAGGACAGCGGTCAGTGAGGAGACCAGCCTGTGCAGCGCTGTGTCTGCCCCTCAGCCCCCTGCCACCACCGTGCTGTAAAAGGAGCCCCCAGATCCAGTTCTGCTTTCTGTGATTCAAAGCCACTTTGCCGCTAATAACACTAATGACACTCCGTCCTCCTGCGGAGCCTGTCATTTGTGGCTCTTGGGGCACTCTGAAAACATTCATTAATCCTCACTGGGCCTTTGAGGTTGATCACTGCTCCCCCTTCACCAGCTGGAGCACGTGGGAGATCAAGGAAGGGGTGGAAGGTTACCTGTCACTGGGGGGCCGGGCCAAGGTTGGAGGAGACCTGCCGCAAATCGGATCTAGCCAGTCATCTCAACTCTGTGGCCCTGACCTTGGGTCTCCACGCCTGGAATGTTGGGATCCTGCATGCTGTCCCCAAGTGGGAAGCTTATCCTTGTGGAAGGGGAAGGGGGGATCGTAACTCCCTGGGCTGGAACGGCAGCGCTTGGTCCTCCCAGCCAACTCCTGATCTGTAAGTGTTAACCTGCTCCAAGCGGTAGGAGAGCCATGAGGCTTCCAAAAGGGGTCAGTCAAGACTGAGAGCTGCCCCTGCAGCAGCCCGTAGTGGCCCTGCCCTTGGGAGGGGACAGAGATAGATAGAGATGGCCACCGGCAGGTGACTTAGTCTCCGTCCTCCTTCAGAAGCTGGATCTGGTGCTCCATGGACATGGGGGTGATGTTCTGGGGAGGAGAGGTGTGTGAAGATTACACCTTGTCCTAACCTCATCCTTTGCCCTCCAGGGTCCATGTATGATGGCTTGGCTGACAATTACAACAACTACGGGACCACCAGCCGGAGCAGCTACTACTCCAAGTTCCAGGCAGGCAATGGCTCCTGGGGATATCCGGTAAGGAGGTGCCTCCATTCTACAAGGCCCGGAATGTTTGCAGGGATGGCCAGCAGGTTGTGGTGGAGAAAACCTGAACTAGTTGCCAAAAGAGTAATTGATGCAGGCCTTGGTCCATGAGCTGAGGCTCCTCCACCCCAGCCAGGTCTGTGTACATGGCCATTATTTTCTGGGTGTTCTTAATGCAGTCCCTGGATGGGCTGATTGGGTGTTTGTGAATGTCTCCAATGAGACTACTTTAGAAAAAGCCTAAAGAAAAGAACATTATGAAACAAGTCAATTTCCCAATGTGTCTGATCTCGTCATGGATTTGAAAGAAGTTGGAATTTTGTTTTTAAAGAAAGATTTTTGCTATAGGGCATGTGCGCTCACGGACAGACAGAGAGACAGAGTGAATTCACTCCCCAGGGGGTATGGCCACACCACAGTCCCTTCTCTTTCATTCTCCTCTTGGGATTTTGGGCACACACACTCATCATGAGTTTTAAGCCACCGGGTCCAGGACTTGAACCATAGTTGACTACGTGGGAGTCCAATGATATAACCATTACACCAGCTGCTGGTCCCGAAACTGGAATTCTTGAGGCCCATTTGTGTGTGCTGATGGCCAAGGAGAGGACACTGAAGGGTATCAGAGACCAGGAAAGCGTGTCCACCATAGAGATTCCTGCACGGGCCGCTGCAAGCTGGAGTTGAGCAGGTGTTCTCAGTACAACCATGTGAACCAGAGCAGGTGTCTCCTCCTACGGTGCAACAAGGCACAGGGCTTCTCCCAGGCCCCAGGTCTCGTGACTTCCTTTTATTTTTGCTGATGCCTTTGCAAGGCCCTGGAGACGTGGTGCAGAGGGTGATGGAGGTGGGTGTTCTGGGGGACGCTGGGGACTGTCTTCCTGGGGCTCTAGGCTTTCAGTAACACTTGCTTTGAGCCATATTGTACACGGATGTCACTTCTGATCTTCGGAGTCCTAGGCCGTGGATGGCAGAGGATGGACGGTTTAGGGGTCTGATATTCTTTGCTGTTTGCCTTTTGATTCCTTCTTTCCTCAGTTCCGTTGGGGCTAGTTTGGGAGGTGACTTTCTTGTATGTTTAGGTTGGGGACTAAAGAGAAGAATGGACTAGCCTGGCCTCAAATTTACTTCCCTGGCTTTTTTTTTTTTTTTTTTCTCCCTATTTTTTTTTTTAAATTTACAGCCTCGGGGTAACACGGGG